AATAGTTTAGTTTTTCCTGTGACTTATTTGCAGTATGATAAATGGTAGGAGCATAATATACTCTCCCAATGTTTTGTTGGTCTTTTCTTTTGTAAATAATTACCCTTTTTTTGCAGTTTTATTTATTTATTTATTTTTGTATCTTTGAGATCTATGACGTCATCAAATACTCAAGTTCTACTCTGGTTTTATTATGTTAATGTTGAGTTTAAAAATTATATACTCGTTCAACCCCTACTTAAGACAGTTCTTTGGTCTTAAGACACAGTTCTTTGGTCTTAAGACACAGTTCTTTGGTCTTAAGACATTACTTCGGTCTTAAGATGCAGTCCTTCAGTCTTAAGATGCAGTCCTTCAGTCTTAAGATGCAGTCCTTCAGTCTTAAGATGCAGTCCTTCAGTCTTAAGATGCAGTCCTTCAGTCTTAAGATGCAGTCCTTCAGTCTTAAGATGAAGTCCTTCAGTCTTAAGACACATTACTTGAGTATTTCATCCTCGTGTCTGAACCCTGCCAGGTCACTTCAGCTGTGATGGGCTGTGTGCTGAGTGTTTTTGTCAGGTTCATCCAGCTGACAGAACACTGTCAGACAGCCCGGCAGCGCGGAGACAAAATGACCCGATGTGCTGTGACGGACAGACTCAGAACCACACTTCAGCTCAGGTCACCTTGCACTGCAAGACTGTAACCCCTGAGATGGTAAGGCCTCCCAGCAACAAAACTCTGAATGGGTGCTACTCGTATCCGGTGTTATTCAAGCTAATATTTCATACCAGCTGCATGACTCCAACAGCTGAAATCATTAAACTGCATGACCAGCTTCATACAGCAACCCACTATTTTTAACTTGCACCTATTTTTAGAATGTGCAGGTGCAAAGACGGCCGTTGGAAAGCAAAAATTAGCAGACTACTAACCTGGATATCTGAAGCAGAACTATTTTTAGCTGAAAGCAACCAAAATATCAAACCATGAGCAACGAACACCAAGTACAGAAGAGTGCAGTAATAAGCTAAATTAATCATAAAGAAATAAATCAGATTGAATGCTCAGAGTTGACCGTTTTTACTCTTAATTTCACTTCATTTTAAATTATTTACTTCATCTAAACTACAGTAATCTCAGCACTTTATGGTCGGCAGCGTGTTAGATTACCACATGGTTTTTAGTGCTGCAGTCTTCCCAGGAAGTCAGAGTGGGTTAATTTAACACCACTCCTAATTGACACCATTTCTTGAAGAACCAAATTTTTGAGCCAGCAAACTCAAATGTCAGAGATCTACTGAAAAATAGCAGTAACAAATGGACTGTACAAAAATAAATGTTTAGGTCGTCACACAAAGGCCTTCAGGGGAATGTTGGGAGGAAAGTTTACACCTTGAGCAAAAATTTAAAAAATGAATATTAAAACATTAATAATAAAAAAATAAATACATTTAATAAGAAATGTAATAATTGTTGCAGCTCCTACCGGCCTATTAGTCTGCTTAATGTAGACTTTAAAATCTTGTCTAAACTGCTAGCCTCTCGTTTGGAAAAAGTCCTCCCATCGATCATATCAGGTGAACAGACAGGTTTCATCAAAGGAAGACATTCTTTTTTTAATATCCGTACTCTTTTTAATACAATATATTCCAAAAATTATAACGGTCACCCTGAGGTTGTAATTTCTCTTGATGCTGAAAAAGCATTTGACAGAGTGGAATGGGAGTACCTTTTTGCTGTCCTAAAAAATTTGGTTTCAGTAGTAATTTTATTTCTTGGATTCAACTTTTATATACCTCACCACAGTCATCTGTGAATACCAATGCATTGAACTCTGACTATTTTACTTTATCACGCAGTACACAACAAGGTTGTCCACTCTCACCTTTGCTCTTTGCGTTAGCAGTAGAGCCTCTCTCTGTAACCCTTAGAACCTCTCCCGTTTCAGGGGGTAACTCGTGGTGGTACAGAGCATAGGGTTGCTTTATATGCAGACGATTTATTATTATACGTTTCAGATCCAATAACTCACCTCTCGTCTATCATAGAAATACTTCAAAGTTTTGGCTCTTATTCTGGGTATAAAATTAATATTCAAAAAAGTGAATGTTTTCCCATAAACCTAGCAGCGCAGGGGCTTAGACGGTCTGACTTTCCATTCCATCTAGCCCGTTCTGGCTTTAAATATTTGGGAGTGCATATTACTGGCTCATTTAAAGTCTTGCGAGCTGCTAACTTTAATCCTTTGCTTACTCATGTAAGATTGGCTTTTCAAAAATGGGCAAACCTCCCTGTATCACTTCTTGGTAGGAATAATATTGTTAAAATGAATATTCTCCCTAAATTTCTTTACCTTTTTCAATGTATCCCATTGTTTTTACCCAAATAATTTTTCAAATCTAGAAATCAAATGATTTCTTCATTTATATGGGCAAATAAAGACACCTAGGGTTAGCATGACCTTACTACAACAGAGTAGGCTCAGTGGTGGTCTTTCTTTGCCGAACTTAATGTTCTATTATTGGGCAGCCAATATTCAGAAGTACATTTATTGGTTGAAAGATCCTCATGCTACTTGGTGCAATCTTGAGTCTCAAGCATGTCTTTCTACCTCACTTTCGGCATTATCATCTCTTCCTATTTCTCTATCAAAATATACAGATAATCCGGTTCCAATTGGCTCTTTAAAAATATGGTATTAATTCAGACATCATTTCAGTTCTATCTCCGCTTCTACTTTGGCCCCAATCTGTAATAATCATCGTTTCCTCCCTTATTTTGTAGACTCTTCATTTTGTATATGGGCAAGAAAAGGTATCAAATGCTTTTATAATTTGTTTAGAGATAAAACGTTTCTCAGCTTTGAGGATTTGTCCTCTCAGTACGATTTACTCTCACATAATTTATTCCGTTACTTTCAAATAAGACACTGTACATATTCTATGTTCCTAGAGTTCCCAAAACTGCCCCCCAAGCATTCGTGGGAGGATCTTTTCGAGTTGAAACCCCAAAGTAAGGCTCTTATATCACAAATACATACCTTTATTACTGCTTTGGGCAATTACTCAACAAAAAACATTGCTTCTAAATGGGAGCAGGAATTGGGTCTTAAATTTGGGGAAGATTATTGGGACAAAGTAACTGACCAGATTCATACTTCATCATCATGTGCAAGACTTTCCCTTATTCAGTTTACAGACTTCATCTATCAAAATCAAGACTATCAAAAATATATCCCAGTGTTGATACGTGTGACAGATGTAACGCTTCCCCTTGTGATCTAACTCTGTTAATTGCTCATTAATTCAATCATACTGGTCTTTTTACTTTGATGTACTCTCTAAGGTTTCGAATATTACACTAAAACCCTGCCCACTAGTGGCGATTTTTGGTGTTCCTGAGGATTCCATTAATCTTGGTCAAAAACAGATGGATGTTATTGCCTTTACTTCATTATTGGCACGACGCAGAATTTTACTCTCCTGGAAAGCTCCTCACCCCCCAGTGGTGACACTCTGGCTGAAAGAGGTCATGTTTTTTTAAGACTAGAAAAAAAATCAAGTTTAGGCTCAGAGGGAATGCTGACAAGTTTTTTTAGATATGGTAAACCTGTTATGTCAAATTACATGTCAAAATTCATAAATAAAGGAGGAAAAAATAAATTTAATAATTAAAAATTAATTATATAAAAATATACATGTATATCTTAACGTCTTAAGACTAAAGTACTGCATCTTAAGACTAAAAGTACTGCGTCTTAAGACTAAAGTACAGTGTCTTGGTACAAAAAGTACTTGCTCTGGCTGGTGGGTGTTCATTTGCATTCATGCAGATACATCTTCAGGATTAGACGTACTGTTTTGTACAATAAATCACTTCCTAATTGTGCATTTTTAAGATTGTGTTCATTTAGTTATTTTGGCACTATGCACGGCATTTCTCATGAAGTAGCATTTCGGCCACTTTAATGGGTGACATGTCACTTTATCTGTGCTGCTGATTATCCATGCTGCTGATTTCTTGCCTTTAAGCTGCAGTATTCATAACCATCTTCTCACAGACTCCTATTAAGGCTGCTGTTTAATACACTGTATTATATTATATTATTATTGTTTAGCATACATCTTAGATTCTTAAATGCAGTTTCTTTTTTTATACTTTATATTTTTGCTAGTTTTTGGTTGTAACTGGGACCTTGATTACACAATTTCATTCCAACTCATGTACCACATGTGATATGAATGACAATAAAGAAACTTAAATCTGAAACGTGAACCTTCTCTCACTTTGTAAATTTTTAATTTATACAAATCTGATATTTTTCCAATGCTGTTCTGTTAAAAATATATTTTATTTGCTTCAAAATAATAATAATAATAATAAAAAAGGTACATAAAACAGCAATACTCCTTATGGGTGAGAATCAATGACCCATCTCAGCTTCTCTCACTCTTCTGGCAGCGTTCAGATATTTTTTTATTTTGCTGAACATCAATGTTTATTGCTCAGATGTTGCACAAGGACGACTGTTCCCACAGCTAGGAGGGATTAACGGTGTCTGTTGTTACACCTCCTACACTGGCTTCAGTCCTCTACTCCTCCAAATTCCCCTCCACCACCACAACCAGCCTTTTCCTCTTTTGTAGCATCGCTCCAGATTAGTTACTCTGAGAAACTAGGGCTCATCTCCATGCCGCGGGATTAGATTTTTAGTTGCAGAAACAAACGCTAATCTGCTGCCTAACACCCCCCCCCCCCCCACCCCCGCAAAAAACCCCAAAAAACAAGATGCTGCTGCCTGAAGGTTCAATCCATGTGTCTAGAGTGTAGCTCTAACACGGGACACCACAAGCTTCCAAAGCACGCTCAGGATCGACTAATCAAGAGTGTGAGGAGCGATTTCCCAAAGTTGGCAAGTGGGATTTTGGCAAAAGCCGTCGTCTATAAGATGTAGCACATTTAGAAGATAAAAACACTCAGCATTAGCAGAATGTCAGAAATCCAAACTTACTAAAATCTCTCACCAATTAAACAAGGGCTTTAAAAGTAAACGCCCGTTGAACTATTATACAGCAACACAGCAAACTATAGCAATGGCCTGAACAAGCAAAGACACTGTTATACGTTGACCTCCATTTGTGACCTTGACCTTGAAGCCGAGGTGATGAAAAGTACACGTAACATTCCGTCTAGTGATGATACGTAGGAGTTTTAGGTTTCAATAAATTATCTTGAGCAGATCAAAAGTTATGGCCCGGACCAAAGAAAGTTTAGACCTTTGGAAACTACAGTATATTATAATATGTTTGCTTTTCAAATGGTGTATTAAAACATAAAAATAAATAAATAGAATTTATTTATTGTGCAATTTCTCCACAGTACAAATATAATTATTTAACAAGAAATGTTAGGAGTTGTTGAGAAAAATACAACTTCCACATGATGCCAACAGTTCACATTTGCCACCCATGACGTCATCAATCATCCCTGCCGGCACTTACCTGAAATGTACATATAACCACCGTACACCGTCCCAGCGTGGCCATAATGTGGTTCATTCATTTTGGCAACATACGTCCATTCATTTGTCCTTGGGTTGTAGCACTCCACAGTAGCTTAAAAAGAATAAAAAATAAATAAATAAAGACTATTAGTAGAAAGTGGGTCAAGACACAACCAAAGAGGACAAACGGCAGCAAATGAGGCCTTGGAGGGTCTCGGTGTGGGATCTGAAAACGCAGATTTAAATACAGAAAACATGCCCACAACCCCACCAGCGATGGATGCTCCGACTGCTCAGGAAATGGAGAGATTGTTAGGTCCTTTATCCTAATGTGCCTAAAGGATGGCTTTGCAAAAAATAGAATCTGAGCGAGCCAAGAACCGGGACGCTGGGATTCATGAGTGATGATCATAGGCAGGCGATTTGGCTGCTTATGATGACTCAATAACAAGCAGCCGGTGTGCATCAGCTTTGCAAGTTAGACAAGCAGCTGTTGTGAACAGAAATTTAACGTCCGTGTCTCTTCATCTTATACAAATAGACTGCAAACACCATAAATAAATATGAGGCGCACAATTGCATGTTTTACTTGGAAACTGCCGGAGCGTAAACAAGTTATCATATTGTTGTTTGAAAACCTTTAATTACAGGATTTAAAGGACTTCATTTTTTACCTGCCACGAGCAGGATATGAGGCAAGGCACAAAGCATTTTGCTTTTATTTCATGCAGCTAGTAATTAACTTGAACTGACTGAACATGTGCCAAGACAATGAGACGCAGCGCTCTAAAAATGTTTGGCTACGTCAGGGATTAACTATTTCACAGAAAACTCAAAAAAATAAAAAATACACACTCATTTCCAGTAAGCACAATCTTGAAAGCATACAATGGAAATGGACTGCACATACATTGATTAGTATTTATTTGATTAGAAATGTATTTGTAGCTATTAGAGTTGAAATTTAACCTTTAGACAATAAAGACCAAGTAGACTTAAGTGTTTTTTTATTACAGATATGGTTTAGATTTGATGAAATGTAAATCCCTGCACCAATAAATATTTTGTTGATTAATAGAAAAAGTCACGTTTTAATTAGCGAGTCATCCTTGCATTTGTTTTCCTCTCGTTTTAAACAAACAAAGAGGGACAGAAGTTATGAAGTCAGAGATGCAGCGTGCACTCGTTGGAACAAATTCCCAACGCGTCTCGACATTGTTAAGCTTCCCATTTTAAATCCAGGCATTTCAGACGCAACAATAAAACCATGCCTGCATGACCCGGTCCACGGTAAACAAACACGACGGAGAGGAGGAGAAGCGCATCCAGAAATACTTCAGGACTGAACCACACGCAGAGGCCGTGGAACGTAAAGCTGAAAAAGGCAGTTGTGTCGACAGGCGGTGAAGTGAGGCTGTGTTCTTTGTTCTAATTATAACCCAAAAATAGAAGACAGCTCCTCTCCCCCTGTCTGCTCAAGATATATGGCTGAGTTTAAGTATTGGGTGGTACCTCTCTGTGGTTTACAGTTACGGGCCCAGAGGTTCCAGACAGGACTACAAGGAGCTTTTATACATATATATATACAAAGTTTCTACTAAAAAGAGATGAATTGTGAATCGAAGTGTAATAAAATGTTCTAATTCAGAGGAGCTTCAGATGAGTGAGGGATGAATGCAGCAAAGTTCCAGTACATCCGTCAGAACAGGTCCTGTCCCGGCTTCAGATGCATCTCAGAACCAAAAACACCCTCTGCCTTTTGAGATATTAACAGCTGAAACTGATGAGTTCAAATTTAATCAAAACATGATACATTTCATACATCAGACTGAGCGCAATAATCTGACCTATAAACATAAATCACAGATTATGGATGAACGTCAAACATGATGTGTGAAATCAATAAGTGCACACCATTTTAAAACTGCACTCTTGTTCTGCTTCTTTATATTTTAAAGAGGAAAATCTTATCAAATGTTGAAGACTTCTGCTTTAAAATAACAAGAGTACAGCATAAAGCACTTATTGTCCAGACAAGCAAACACCTCGTTTTAACTTTGGCCATGACCTTGGAGCTGAGGAGATGAAAATTGTACATGACACCATCTTATGATGATTCATATTTGTATCAAGTTTCATTATATTTTCTTCAGCAGATCAGAAGTTATGGTCTGGACAAGAGAAAGTTTACAAATGTACGGTCAGAGGCTACACCATAACATGTCCGCATTTCGATGGACGTATAAAAAATAGGGACATAAACTCACCTAGCTCCCCGGCAGCGTTCCTTCCACCAACAGCATAGAGGTGTCCCTTGAGAGCACTGAGGTGAAAGAAGGTTCGTTTTTCATTAAGGCATGCCACCTGGATCCATTTATTGTAGCGAGGGTCGTATCGAAACACTGTGTCCACGGCCGTTTTGCCTTTGGTGTCGTAGTTGCTTTGGCCACCCACAACGTAAAGAAAGTTGCCGATTACTGCGATGCCGTGCTGATAGCGAGGCGCATCCATGGGTGCCAGTGCCTTCCACTCGTGCGCCTTCTCGTCAAATAGACGCAGCTCCTTGCTCACAACTAGCTGCTGGCGTAGCACACCACCCAGAGTGACCAGGTGGGAACTATCAGAGCGAATGGCTGTCCGTTCTGACTGCATGACTGGCTGCATATAGGGCATCATTTGGTAGTTGCTAGCTTCCAGGAGAAGGTTCACACAAGTGTTGTCTGTACGCATAAAGTCCACAGTTTGTACGTGATTTATGAGCTCCTGCGGGTTCATGAGAGGGAAGCGGATATTCTTCATCAGCTTTGAGGCATAGTCCATACGGCCATCTTCGTAGCGTAGCCAGCGGCAAGCAGCCTTGAACAGGTCCAACTCAGTGCAATGTTTCAGGCTGTTACTGGACAATACAAAAGCCAACCGCTCGAACGGGAGTTTGACAAACTCTCCTGTTCCCAGCAAAGAAGGAAAGTTCTTCAGGATGAAGTTGTTGACGTATTTGTCCACCTCCGTTAGGTTGTAGGTGTTGGCGATACGCCCCACCTCTACGCAGTTGTCAAGAGAAACCTGAAAACAAATCATAAAGAAGGCCTCAGAGTGATAAAAAAAAGCCTTTTCAATGAGGAAGAAGCAGGTAATAAGATAATAATTAAAAAAAAAGCTACATATGCACCGTTCATATTGAGCTTATACATCTGCCTACTTACCCCAGAAATAAGAAAGACTTTGCAGAAGTCCAACACAGGAAGGATTTGTAAGAAACTGGCTGCCTCCAGCGTGTCCTGCAGGTTCTCCATGTTGAGGGACAACTTTGCTGTATAGATAAAGTCTATGATTTTTTTCAGGCCTATTCGGTTTACTCCGTGAAGCTTGATGCACATTAGATCCTGTTCTTTCATTCCACCTGCATCAGGAAAATGAAAGTGAAAATTAAAAAAAAATTAATAGGTTCAACTCACACCTTGTTTTAAATCAAAGACCTGTTTACACAAGATGGAAAAAATTTCAGGTGAGAATAGGATTCTTAAACATTTAAGGGGACTCGTGCAGTGCACCGTTGCATGAAAGGTGGCGGGCGATATGGATTTCTTCAAGGAATTACAAATGTGTTTACCAGATGCATTTATCAAGAGAAAATAAATTATGATGTAAATGACTTGAAACCACGAGAAACCATCTCCATTTCCTGCCTCTTATCCGTAGTCGATTGGCAGAAGCAACCAGTCCAGTAGAGAAACCCAGACGTTCTTCTCCCAGCGACTCTCTGGTCCTCCTCAAGGAGGACCCCGGGGCGTTTCCAGACCAGAGAAAATGAACAATCCCTCCAGCAAGTTCTGGCTCTTCTCCAGGGCTTTTTCCCAATGGAACATGCCCAAAAAGCTCCAAAGGGAGGCGTCCAGGAGGCATCCCACTTAACGAACCACCTCAACGGACTACTTTCGATGTGAAGGAGCAGCAGCTCTAATCCAAGCTCCCCCTGGATGACATAGCTCCTCACCCTACCTCTAAGGCTGAGCCCGGCCATTTTACAAAGGAAGTTCATTTCAGCCACTTGGATCCAGGATCTTGTTCTTTTGATCATGATCCAAACATCATGACCACTGGCGAGGGTTGGAACAAAAACAGACCAGTAAATCCAGAACTTTGCCTTTCGACTCAACTCTTTTTCCCCACCATGACCGACTGAAGCAACACCCTCATTAGAGAGGATGAAACCCAGATCAGTCGATTTATCTCCTGCTCCATTCTACCATCACTCAGGAACAAGAGATACTGAAACTCCTCCACCCGAGGCAAAGACTCCCCACCAGAAACCCTGTTGAACAAAACTATAGTCATTTATCACCTGCTCTTTGCAAACATATGCAAATGATTACATGACCAGGTAAAAATATTAAACAATAAAAAAATAATAATAATAAATTTAAAAAAAAGGTGATGCTAAGAAATGCAATAAACCATTAAAGCTAATCTGTATGGGCGGGTGGTGGGAATGTTGACTGGAGTTTCTCAGGATGTAAAAAAAAAAATACGGCAAAGTGAAGACGATGGTTCATGAACCTGTTTAACTATTGTTAGTCCTTTGGCTTTCCCACTGGTGAGCAGATGCTCCAGTCAGAGAGGGGCTTTGTAAACCCACCTGTGAACATGGCTTTGAAGTAGTCTGAGGAGGAGGCCATCATTGCACGGTGCACAGGAAAAACTTCATCTCCATCCCCTGCAACCAACGTCACGTCACATAGCAAACCTTCTATTCTCAACTGGTCGAATCCCTAATCCAAGAAAGAGAGGAAAAGTGAAAATTATGCGAGGAACCTAAACTAAGTTTATATTTCTACCAGTGAAGGACACTTAAATCAATCCCAGACTGTACAGACCATGTAATCATTAAGCTTTAAATTATGGAAAAAAAAATTAACATCCTTGGGGAAATTATTGGTATTGCATTAACTTATGCAAACTTGATTTTTCTATCAGTCATATCTGATGAAACAAGAAACTTGGCAGTTTGTACAAATAGGCTGCAAACAAGGAAACAAGCTCATGCTGTAAAAATCAACCGGTACCATCATAAAGACTTTGCCTTAAAATTAACCACATAACTAACAGATTCCACAATCAGGACGTCAGATAAGAAAGGCTAGAAAAATCATTATCATTCTGCCACTGCGCTGTGACAGCACAAGATTAATGAACAGCAAAAAAAAGCAGCCAAGGGCTTCTCATTTTCACAGAACGCTGGTGACCAAGGACAACAAATGCTTTTGCAGCAGACAGCAGAATGCCAGCGCATACTCCCACATTCAGGAGTGATCCTCTCTCTACATCAGTGTTGACATGCAAGAAGAAGCCTTAAGATTAATAAAGTATTCTGTACAAATAGAATTAAATAGAACAAAAAACAAACAGACAAATAAATAGAATAAATTAGCATTGTAAGGAAGACGACAGTTTTAGTTTTCCATGCGTCATAATGAAGCTTACTAACGTACTGTAAATTTTTAATAAGATTTACTCTTTGATGAACCTGTGCCCAGGGTGCAAAAATAAGTAAAATTTGTTCTTCATAGTGCAGCATGATGGATTAGTGGTTAGCACTATTAAATGCAGAAAGAAAAGAAAGAAAAGCTTTGCAGAGAGTAGTGAAGGCTGCACAGAAGACTGTTGGAGTCAGCCTCCCCACCATCACAGACATTTACACCTCCAGATTCAGGAAGAGGGCCACCTGCATCATGAAGGACCCAGCACACACACTTTTTGCCCCACTCCCCTCAGGAAGGAGGTTGAGGAGCATTAAATGTAGAACCACTAGACTGAGGAACAGCTTCTACCCTGAGGCTGTTAGACTCATGAATCTCTAACCAGAATAATCATCGCGAGAAAAATCACATCATGTTGCTGCCGATTTGTTTCATGTTGCTGCTGATCTGTTTATGTTGCTGCTGATCTGTTTATGTTGCTGCTGATCTGTTTCATGTTGCTGCTGATCTGTTTCATGTTGCTGTGTTCATGCGTGCTCATCTGCTCACACAGACTCATGTTCGTTCTGTTCAGCGTATCGTTTTTATGCCATTAGTGCTTAGCGTATTTTAGTTGATGTTTTTCTTAGTTCATATCTTAGAACTTATTACAGTTTTTCCTTTTACATTTTATTGTTGGATGTAACTGGGACCCTGTGTACACAACCTCGTTCCACCACATGTACCACATGTGGTGCGAATGACAATAAAGAAACTGACTTTGACTATTGCCTCACAGCAAGAAGGTCCTGGGTCAATCTCTGGTTTGGACCTGGGCTCTTTCTGTGTGCGTTTTCTCCGATTTCCTCCCAGTCTGAAAACATGCATGTTAGGCTGCCTTTCCAGGCTTTCCATGCAAAAAAAGATCTGTGATCTCAATGGGATTTCCCTGGTTAAAGAAAGGTTATTAAATAAATAAAAACAATGTTCTTTGTCCAAACTCTCACCTGAAGAACCACAGAGCTGTGCGTATTGCTTGTGAAAAATCGAGTGTTTCCAGTCTTTGATGCCTGAAGATGAGCAGAGACGCCCATTTCACTGTAGCCCAGAGCGACTTTCATGTGAGCGTCGTCGTCCTCCACCAGGGATCTGTTGGGGGGGGAGGGGAAAGGGGACGTGAGTGTTTAAACTTCAGAAAATGTGTTTGTTCCCTTCTTATTTTAGCCTGTAGGAAGTTGGACAGGTAAGTTCTCAAAGTGACACAAGGCAAGGACACTTTGGTGGCAGTAACCTAGTTGTTAAACAAACCGTCTTTTAGAAGTGGAAGCTCAGCTGGACTTCACCGGGTGGGGGTGGTAGGGGGGAGATGGTGGCAGAGGAAGAAGGGGAAACATATATTCATGATTCTTATTTTTCCAAAACGCTTTTGGGTAAATCAGCAGAAATCTGAAGATCACTGGTGGTACATATATAAACTCCAATATAACAAATGACCTTTTAATTTCCAAGAAGGATAATTAAAAATAAACATGTAGGAAATGCAAGTTTTTCCCCAGCTGAACATTAACCACTCCACTGACCAGAACACTACCTGTAAATCAAACAAAATGTTTTAATTAAAAAAAGACTACCACACACAGCCCATTATAGACCCTTGTTTCAATGTTGACCAAAATTGAAAACCTTTGACCTTGATTTATGACCTTAAACTTGGAGCTGGGGTGATTAGAAGATAATGCTGAATGCAGTGAATCATGTTTCTGTAAATTATCTTGAGCTGACCAGACGTTATGGCCCAGACTATCAAATACCTGGTTTTAACTTTGACTTGTGACCTTGACCTTGAAGATGGGGTGAAAAAAAAAAAGTTGGTAAATCTCCAATTACTGATGAGGCATGTGTATATGAAATTGTATTAAATTAAAATGAGGGGATCAGATGTTACAGGCTAACAAGACAAAGGTTACAGACGTACGATACCATAATTTGTCCACCTTTCGACGGGTAAATAAAGTCTGTCTGTGTTGTAGGCACAATTTGGACCAAAAAATATGGCTTCAACTTCAAGTCAATCTCATAATCTAATGAGTCACCATATTTATAATGGACTATCAAAAAATAGGATAATACTTAAAAATAAATAAATAAAACCGGATTTCATCTAGACTAAATCAATAGGTTGGGAGGTCACGACGACTTATTTAAATCCAGTATTTCTCGTCATCCCTCTGTCAAAACGCCCTTGGTTGAAATATTGAAGTCTAAATAGCTCCTGATGTGTAAAGAATTAAAGTTGAACTCCCGTTTGATGCAATTTGACTTCAACTTCACATCCCTCAAAAGGGAAGGGCCACTGCAGATCAATACAGAGATCACCTTTCTCATCTGATGAAGAGTTTCTATTCGGACATCAATGAGGATGGTCTGACCCAGTTCCCGTGGCCTTTGGAGTCGCCCCCATAAGAAAACACCAGTGAGCAAACTGGATTTGGTCAAATGTTTCCTGCACTTCCCATTATATTTGCAGAGTCTTGTAAAATCAACGCTAAGATGTTAAAACAGGCGCTCTGGCACCAGCACCTCGTTTAAAAACTGCATGTCAATAATGTTACTTTTCATCCATCTATTCAACCTAATGCAACAGATATTTCGTAATATTTGCAAAGATCATGAGCAGAAAAAGGCCTTTTCTTTTTGCTCAGCAGCACTTATGGTACTTTCGTACGTCCCATCCATTAGCTTCGTATTGAAATTCTGCGTATCTGTAGAAGTTGGAAAATAAAAAGGATGGATGCAAAGTGATGCTCGAAGGAAATGTAAGTGGTGTTAAAGAAAAAGGAATTGTCAAGAGGCGTTTTGATGAACATGCCATTCTGCTGCCTTTTCACGTGTGGTGAGTGACACCTCTGACTCGGGCTGAATACTGATGAGAGACGAGCTTTCCGTTTCAATAAG